ATCCTTCTTGTGTATTTATTTATTTTACTTTTGCTGATCCTAAAATTCTTTGTGCCGCAGGCTTGTGTTTAGTACCAGAGTTTTGCATTCTGAATAGGATGCTCCACAGAGAAGCGTTCTGGGCCAGCGCATATGGTTTCTAGGCACTGTAATAATATAAATGATAAACTCTGTCGTAATCTCCATCTGGCTGAAAGCCTGTTATTGAAAGAACATGCTTTCATGTCTGTAACATATATTACCAGATCTGCAATTTCTTTTTGCCCAGTGAAACCTACTTACAAGGATATTTCTAACGTAAAGTTTTACCTGTGCTTATGTCTGATGTATCTTTACTGCCAAGCACAAAAGCAATGAGATTTCTTAGATATTTTGTTATTAAAAGATCTTGAGATGTCTTCACTAACGTAATCTGAAATGAAAAGATGATAGAGATGTTTTGTGAGGTTTTTTGTGTCTTTATCTTTTCTATTCTGAATTGTGCTCATTTTCCAGAGGTGTTTATTCACTGCATTCAATGAGGTGTCATTTTTTCTCTCTCTGGATATTGTTTTCGTGTTCCCATGATACTAGTATGAATTTATTAGAACCCGTCTAACCTGCATCTATACCAGAATTTGTTGAAAAAAAATTTGCTATTCATTGAAATCCTGGGAAAATGAAAAGCTTTGTCAGTACCAAATTTATGCTTTGATCTGTCTGTCATGCTACTAATAGACCAACACTTTTTATGACTAGTCCCATCAGCTGTCTCTTAAGCTTGTTCAGAACCACTGTCTTCAGGTGTTTTGATCCTTTCTATCACATAAACACACTGAGTGTTTCATGCTTATCAGGAAAGACTGACACTCATCCTGAGATGAGATCCTGACCTTGGACTGAGGTAGCCAGGGGATGGCTGTTGCCTAATGAGAAGGAAATACTGTCTTTACATATGATTGCCACTAGTGACTACTTGAAACTGTGGCTGTTGATGTATCTTGGGCATTTCAAGGTTATTTCTCATTTATTCCAGATGAATGATGTGGGAGAGGATAGATAGACTCCACTCTGTATCTGTTTTGAAACACATTGTTTATTTTCATTTGTTTATATCTGTTGCGGATTCTAATACAGTTTCTCTACTCCCTTAAGATGCATAGGAGTAGCAGGAAGGAAATGTCGATGGCAGGATTATTGTGGCTGCTGGCCAAGCAGAACTTCATAGCAGAAATCTTTTAACTTTTTGGCCATGGAAGATACTCAAGAAGTGTTCGAAACAGTTGGTCAAATCAGCTGATTTAGTGTGTCCCCTGCATTGGGTTTGGGAATGAAACAGCTGTTCAACCAGCTTGCAACTAGTTTTGCCTCAGGATCTCATCCAATTTTCAAGTGGAAGTGTACAATGAAAAATTATCACTGTAGAACCTGAAAACTTACTTCTCAGAGATCACTTTCCTCTAACTTTGATCTGAAAAATGCTTCGTACATAGAAGCTGCCTTTTGGCTTGCACTGTTTACTTAAAATTTTATCGAGTTCTGATGCTGTACTGGTCATGCAATCACTCTTTTAATCTCTAATTCAGCACTTTCTTTCCAGCCCAGTTCTGTGGCCAAGTACTTTATTATACCAGTTTCCCTTTGCCATAACAGATGCACATTTCCGTATTTCATGGAAGCACTGATATTTAATATACATAAAGGACCACAAAAAAACATGGTCATTACCATGAAATAATCTCTGCTGTCACTGAAACAGCTGAGTTTTCTCGCATACAGAAAATTTGTGGAGTTCTTTTCAGTGGACTTGGAGAGGAAACTTATTATGAGATAGAGTAAGTAGGTTTTTTAGGAGTGCTGAGGGGCGAATTGGCTCCTTCTCTGTTGTTATCCTTGTGGAACAGCACCTCCATCTAAAAACCTTCTTGGTCAGAAATGATCAAGAAAAGGCTCAAGTGATGAGGGATAATGGGAAGTAGTCTGCATAGCTGTATAAGCGAGTTGAACTTCAAGGGTACCATTGCTGTTGTCGCCACGTGGAAACTTAGGAAGCAGACATCAGAATATCCCCCACTGTTTCAGTATATCCACAGGAGTAAGGAGAGGCAGGTGATGGGCCAGCAAAGTAATAGGAAACCTCTTCTATTTGCGTGTCCCTTGTTATGACAGAGAACCTGGGAGCAGAATGCATAATTGTACAAAAGGGAATGAAACCACAGGGATTTAGTGCTGACTTCTGCAACTTCTCATTCTTACTGAGAAAGACAGGAGTGTGCTAGGCTTTGACAGTGGCCCTCTTCTTCACCTGTCCCGCTAGCTCTTCTTTTTATTTTTTTAAAAACTCATGTTTTAGCATGAGACAATTCATTTGTCTGTAATGTCACAGTAATTACAGCATGGAGCACGGGCTGGTAAAGAAGAGAGGGCAGCTGGAGGTCTGATTTATTACAGAATCTTCCTCCTGGTCACATAGAAAAATAGTTTGTATTTGCATTGTGTGAGGATGCCATAGCTGCTAATTGCATTGTTGCGCCTTCTGTGCTACTAATAAATGGACATCTGAGATGAAAGAGGTAGTATTGAAAATTGAAGGATAATTAACCTTCTGAGTGAGTTGGTCCAGCAGTGACTGAAGGGAAAGGTGGATGAATGGTAATGTTAGGTTCATGGTTAGACTGGATGATCTTAAAGGTCTTTTCCAACCTAAACGATTCTATGATTCTGTGAATGAGCAGTGCTTGACTGGGCAAAGGAGTTGACAGAGTGTCTAAATTCGAGAAATGGATGGGGAGTTTGCACTTGTGAAAGGGAAGCTAACAGTGTTACGCTGACCTGTAGTATTGGGTGTGATGAGGTTTTAGGTGCTCTTAGCTCTAAGAGCTCCGAGATTCTTTTCCCCCATGTTTCCTGCCATCAGCAGAAATGAGTTACCACCTGGAAGGTGAGATTCATTTCCTCAACCTTAAGGGTTCAGAGAGGTGGTGACATTCACTGGTGGGAACTGTGTGAGCAGAGATGCATCCTAGTGGGAGTTTAATAAATCATAGACCCAAAGAAACATGCTTAATATACTGGATATTCTGTATGAGACGGATCAGACTGCTTCCCAAAATTTAGTATTTTTTGACCCGCAGCATATCCTATAGGAGATGTTTTACAGTTTTTGAGGGGTTAAGGGTGACTTGTGAATCCAGAGTAATCCTTGATTGCTCTAGTGGCTAATAATTCACTGTTTATTTTTTCAAAATTCCTTTCTTTGCTAAACTGAGTTTATCTAGTTTTGAGACAAAATAGACCTTTCATCCGCTGTGCTAAAGGGGTAGTCATCAAAGTTTGCTTCCACAGTGAGACATTCAGCAGATGCCACTTAAACTTGATTTTGATAAACCGAATGGACTGACCTTGGGCAGTTTTCTGCTCTTTTTTTTTTTTTTTTTTTTTGTGTGTGTGGTGTTTTTTTGGTGGTGTCTTTTTTTCTTTTTTTTTTTTTTTTTTAAGTGGGGGTGGGGGGCATGTTTTGTTTTCTTTTTTCCCCACTTCTTCCATTATTATCACAACTCTTCTTTGGATCCAGTATATGAGCATCCGTCTTCAACTGAAGAAGGTAGAGCTTGATGCAATATTCCTGTTGTGTTTGTGGTAAATGAAATAGGTGAAATCCTTCACTCTTCATCAGTACCCTCCTCACACACTGAAGGACTGAAGTATTGATCCTTTGACCACACCAGTGAGAGGGTTCCTGCTTGTGGCACTTCTGCTCAGAAATGGTTTTAATTCTAACTATTCAAGGTTTTCTGACTAATAATTCAGTCCACCTCTGGAGTGGTAAGCGTAGGCTATTTGCATATATGGAACAGATTTCTCCCTAAAAGGGAGATATTCCAAGTATTCAGTGGAACTACTGCTTATGTTTTTGCATGCGTTTTGAGTCTGTCATCTTTTCTTCTAGCAGCTCTGTTTGCTTTTAAATAATGCTGACTTCATAGATTCTTAATTATAGTAATGATCACATCAACTTTTCTATCTTGATGATTTCTCATTTATTCCCCTTTATGTGATCTGTGTGAAGCATTTTAGGTAATTTGGGGATTTTTTTTTATTCCTTTGTTGCCAGCATTTTGGTCGTTGTGCTAGAGTGGGTTATGTCTTCAAAGAACCATCTGTTTCAGAGCTCATAGGTCATTGCCCTGATGTTTGTTGATTAACAGTACTCTGAAAAAAAAGCCCAACATAACAAAACCAAAAACACAACTGAAAACAATTACTTTTTTAATTGCTGTGTTTTCATTATTGAACACAGACTTCAAATGGGGATGGGCACAGTATGTTGATTACAAAGAAAAGACTACAGCTTTAGACAGCAAAAGTAGAATAAAAGGCAGTGGTATCATAAGTTAGGTCTTCTATAGAGAAATAGGACCTGAAATTTTCCTTACACGGGCTTTTCCTTGCAGCCTTCCATAGGCTTGGCCACATTCATTCCAACTATGGCTGATATTTTTTTTTTTACTATTCCATCTTTTATAACTTCTTTTCCAACTTCTGATGCAAAGGAAGAACTTTGCTTGTAACTTAATGTTTTGAATTGAAAGGTGACTGTTATTTTCTCTGAGACAGTAATGCTTTTTTGACCATTTTCTTCTTGCTTAAGCAGGAGTACAATATCCATATTTTGACCACACACCAAATGAGTGTGGAATGGGAACCTGTTATGACTGGATATTAACCTGC